TGCATCACACATACATGATCACACACCCATCATCATTGTCATTATCATCCTAGCCTCAATCATCCCGATCTGCATTCACTGACACACACCCTCTGATTTGGTATTCATGTCACAGAGATTAATCAGGCTGCTCATCCCATCTGGTGTTGCACACTGATACACACGGTCTTCACTCTCTACCTGTCTCAAGGTGTGTGTATGTGTGGGTGGTTTGCCACACAATTGACAGACAGTGAGAGAGGGCTCTGTCAACCATCTGCATATCTGCATATTAACAGCGGACCGTCCCTTTAATTTCCTACAGCAGCTGATAACCGTCTCCTCCTCTTGGCCTCTTTGTTGCTCCAACGCTGAGCTCTCAGATTTATGTGTGTTTGAGAAAAAGGCTAGACTTTCCTGTCCCCCACACACATATTTTAAAGCTCCCTGTTAATATAATGCGAAGATTATTGAAAGAAATAATCCAGAGCATATAAAATGACTGACAAAAATTTAAATAGGTTTCATTAAAGCTGTTTATTGTTTTTGCTGTGAAACATTTTCTCTTCATTTTATTTGAACACAAAAAGTTAAATGACGGTTTAGTGAAAGTGGGAATTTTAGCTCTCTTTAGTCTGATACCTTTAAATAAAATGTATTTAAGCCACTTGTTGCCAGCAATCTTGTAGTTTGCTGTGTATAACTGTGTATGACATAAATTCAGTATGAATTTAGTGTGAATTTGTAAGTTTGGATTTGTGCTAGAGGTGTAAATCTCACCCATCATGGCGATTCAATTCAGTATTAATTTCCTGACCCAACAAGTCGATTATTTTCGATACTCAAGAATTTTCCTCCACCACGTCTGCCTTGCCTACCTCTTCTTTCTGTCTTAATCTCAGTATTCTGTCTTGCCTACTGTTTACGCGTGTGTGTGTATGCAAGCAGAAAGAGGGAAGTGGCTAAAGGACGTGAGGTAGGAGGACATAATAGGTTTAGTGCCACCGCATGACGAGAGTCAGAATTAGCAAATCGATAAAAATAGACCGGAGGGGGGAAAAAAAACATGAATCGATACTCTTGCAGACGTCTCCTTGGCTGTTGGATTGATGCATCGATACAAAATGATTATTATTTACACCCCTAATTTGTGCGTTGTTTGTTTTTATTACATTTTTTGTATTAAATATTTGAATTTCATCTGTGCTGAATTTCTACATTTTCAAACTACAGCCCGTTTTTGCATGACAAAAAAAATATATATAGCTTTTGAACAACATATAGCACTGCAGATTGGCCTGTGTACAATTGTTACAGTAATAAGGGGAGGCAGAATCAGATTTAGGGGAATGTTTTCTTCAGCAGAGACAGAGAATCTGGTTGGGGTAATAGAAGATGGGTGAAGCAAACTAAAAAGTAATTCTGGAAGAAAGCAGATTAGAGGCTGCTAAAAACTTTAGGCTGGGTTCACGATAGACATGTAGCTTGTGCTGCAATTAAACACATCAAAGTGTGCGTGTGTGTCAGAACGGCCTAGTCCAGTGGTTCCCAAAGATTTTCTTCTGGGCCCCCCTTTGGATTACAACAAAATTTCCATGCCCCCCCCCCCAAAAAAAAAAAAAATCAACTGGGCACACACATCGTTCAACCAGATATAATAGACCTATACACACATTTTGTTTTCAAACTCCACTGAAGTTTATTTCACACTTCAGGTTGCAACAAAACAAACTACACACCATCTTTACAGTGGAACACTTTTGTGTAACTGTATTTTTTTCATAGTTCTATAGTTTAGATTAGAAGAGGATTCTTTGTTGTCTGTGTTATTTTAAACATACCGCTTCCCGCGCCCCCCCCTGCAATGGCATTGCGCCCCCCCTAGAGGGCGCGCCCCACACTTTGGGAACCACTGGCCTAGTCAAAGTCCTGACCTAAATCCAACTGAATTTGGTAGAAGAGTTGAAAAGGGATCTAAAGGATGTTTAAACATTTTGCCTGAGGTTGGCATATCTTAAGACCTTTTCTGGTTGGGCGAAACTGCTAGAGACAGATTCCCAAAGGAGCTTTACTGGTAGTTACTGATTGTAAATACTGTGTTCCTGTATTAAACTCACTTCAGTTTAATTTATCTTTTTGGATTTTATAGAAGAAAACTGTATGGATGTTACTTTAAAAACTTCCAATCAAGATTTTCATTTAATTTTGTTTTCTAAGTTGAGGCACAAGCAGGTGCTGGTCATTTTTTGTGTTTTATGGTTTATTGGTTTTTATTTTTATTTTGTATACATTGTGAAGTTCAGCCCAACTTAAGCCATGATTAATTAAAACAAATTTTGTATCATTCACAAGTAATTAAATATAAGTAAAGTAAGTAAATATGATTGTATTACTGCAATAATTGATATTGACCAAAGAATAATCCCCTTTATTGTTATTATAATCTGATTAGATTCTAGAATGTTATGTTTTTTAATTAATTGTTTGCTTAAACCTGGGATAAGAACTGAAAGAATAAGGTATCATAAAATCTTTAATAAACAGCGTAGAATAAAAATGTTCAAGATATTTGAGCATTTTATGATTATTTCCATCATCAGTAAAACTGTACAGATTCACATTCACTCAACAAGAAAATTCGGCATAAACCTGATCTTTTTATTTGACTCTCATCTGACTTTTTTATGGCAATTCTGATCTTTTCACATACCAACCCTCCCATATATCTGATTTTCCATATGTGGCATCAATTCAGAAAGGTAATAGTTGACCAAATGGTCGTGTCAAATTGTATCTAACTTTCTGTCGTGGCCAGGGCTTTCACTACACATCAGCAGAGTTTTCTGCAGCAGCATCACTGATTGCTTTGAGAATGGAGTTGTTAATAATTATGCTTTATTTTCACCTCTCTTTTGTTAGGATAGGGCTATCATACGGTTAACTCACAGCCACATCCACTGTAATGTTTTGTTTTAACAAAGATTTTTAGTAAAATTTTTGTGGACTGGATGTCTACACTCTTCCTCTGTATTCCAGGGTTGCTTTAAATTTCCTCAACTGTTCACACATGAATCAGATAGTGGTAACATTTAGTTAGTAATTTGCAAAACCACACCAAAACAATTGGATTTCAGAAAAGGTTGAAACTGAACATAAAACAGTAACAGACATTATATGTTAACAACTAAGTGGATACACTTTGAAAGTTGTAGAAATATTGCCATAGTTTAATTTCTACAGCGGGTGATGGTGAAGATTCTCAGTCATCCAGGTCATATTATTCCAAAAAAGTAAAAAAACAAAACAAAAAAAACAAGCTTTTGCATCACTACACTATCAAAGCTGTTTAGCCAGGCCAACAATGACCTCAATGACTCCCGACTACTAAGGGGTGGACCTGTTTTCGGTTCAATTTTAAGCCATAACAAGGCTTCTAAATGGGAAGCGAAGCATCTACAAACTTGGAGAAAAGAAGTCCATTGGGTTTTTTTCCCCCTTTTCTGGAATTTCTACAGCAGTTTTCTGCTTTATTTAAAAGACTATTCATCGGACATGCAGGTGGCACAGTGGTTTGTGCACACGACCCATGTATGGAGACCTTAGTCCTTGATGCGGGCGACCCGGGTTCGAATCTGGCCTATGGTCCTTTCCCGCATGTCTCTCCCCTTCTCTCATATCCCCTTTCCTGTCAACCTACTGTCGAAAAAACGAGCCACTAGTGCCATAAAACTCAAAAATATATATATTTGTTAGATTATATTACTGTTAAAAAAATAGTGTTGGGCTTCATATTGAAAAGCTCAACAGTCATAATGGCTTCACTTTAATACGCTCTGAAACGGATACATCTGCCACCCTGATCATTAGATTTGGCAGTGAGTCATTATAAATGAATGTTGATCTCTTTTTTTCTACAAGAGTTTGATGGAAACCAGATAAAGGCATATGCAGAAAAACTGTTTCCCTGTTCTTGCAATTAGTTGAAGGAAGACCCTTAAAAAAATAAATGCGTCTTGAACATTTTGCATTTTGGCAGGATAAGTTATGCATAAATAGATCCCTCCTTCAGCTCCAAACTTTTAGCAATCTCAGTGCTTAGAGTTAAGGCTTACATTCATTTTTGTTTAGTGTAAAATTCTCCAGTTCAGGTTGAACAAATTTTACAATGTTGGTGCGAAATGGAGATAATCAAACGCATATGGAAAGAAACACAAATAAAGGCTTTTAAGTTAATAAGCATCATATCAGACGCCATGTAACAGACCACCAAGCTCAGTATAGAGAGACAGAATACTAATTGGATCATTATTAAAAAATCTCTTTATTTTTATATACATGAAAAGGGCAAAAAAGGGTCTTTAAATCAGCCTCCAAAAAATAAGCTACACATATCTGGGACTTGCACCTATTTTCACCAATTCACTATATATATATATATATATATATATATATATATATATATATATATATATTACAAGCCCAGTAAAAAAGAACATTCCTTTGAAATTTCTGTTAATTTCCAATGAAAAATGTTCAATCTTTATATGTTTGTGTTCACTGCATGGTTTAGATATGTAATGAACAGTGCCAAAACTGCGCTTTTATGATTTTATGTTCCTTAAAATAAGCTTAGATTGTCTGTCATTGTGAAAGAAGTGTAATGGACATCTTATCAGTGCAGTTTGACAGCATGTGCTCCTACATGGAAAGACGTGTGTGTATTTAGTCCAGGAGTGCTGACTGCACAGTGATGGGATGATAATGTGTGTTCTTTATGTTGGAATGATGGACGGGGCTTCTCCTTGCTCTTATCCTGATCATCTGTCCAGTTTAACTGACTGAGCAGCTCTGTGGTTTCCACTCTGAATCTGCTCCATCAGACTATATTCATCCCTGACATATAAGGAGGGGGAAATGAGGGATGAGTCATTTTTCTAAAAACTAAAACTGTGATATTTATGAAAAGAAAACATGTAACAGTAACAGCTACTTTACGGATTCCTTTTTTTTGCTTCCTGTAGTTACGCCGGCAGGACCTGAAAGAGTAAGGCAGCCACTAGATCTACCACCACCACATCTAATGGTCAGTATGATGTTTTTCTAATATGTTGTATTGGTTTTAGGCCATATATAACAGGACGCAGACCTTTAAAGTTGTACTTCTTCATCAATCAAGTAATTTTGATCTGTCTTTAGCTTATTGTAGAACCATGAACTCTGACCTTAACCCTGCTTCATGTTGTCAGACAGGATTCACTAAATAAAAAAGTAGATTCTGCAGATTTGGGCAAAAATTCTGCTAAGAAATTACATGTAATTTATGGTTAAATAGGTAGTAACATATTTGACTAGGTGGATTGGATGCCTTTATTGAATAATTTGACAGCTGCCTATTGATTTCACTTTGGTTGCTGCTTATAGTCAGATGTATTTATATCAGGCAATGATGTCATAAAAATGGATCTGAAAGCACTGGATACGATATGGTGGCCAAGAGGAGTAAAAAGCCCCGCAAATACATAAACGGGCAAAAAAAATACAAAAAGTACTTTAAATGGATATTATGTAAGTTTTTTTTATTGAAAGATAACTTTAAAATAGCCTTTTTATATTAAGACTAAAATATTGTTTGATAAGAGAACTGATACCTCAGCGTTTCAACGTGGATGCATCTATAAATCAGAGGTTCCCACACTGTTTCTGTGGATTTGATGTCAACTGCTTCCATGTTAAATGGATGTCATATAGCAAACAATTGAAGTGCGATATTTTCCAGATAAATTTTGAGGAAACTCAGAATAAAGTTCAACTAAGACACTGATGGCAACTCCACATAAGGTGAATTAAGTAAAAAAACAAACCTATCAGAACAAACAGAATCGTGTTGCAGTTCTGTGGTTTGGACAGACGAGGCAGTATCATTGGAGAACTCCAATGAAAATTAGACTAAGAAACACAAAAATGAGACGAATGGTGAGATATAGAAGAGGATTCTGACTTTTTTCCCATATTAAACTCAATTGTTAAACAAAAAAAGTTATATTTTTTCAGATAATCTTGTGAAATTCTAGGAATTCTGAGATTAAAGTCACATTTCAAACCTTTTTTTGCCTCATATTACACACAAAATCTGTTAATCCTTTTTATTTTTCCAATGCCCCTAATCCTCTTCCATACAGAGACGATCAAAAATAAGCGTAAATGGAAAAAATTGCTTTCTTTAGTGGAAGTGCTCCAGACCACTAGGGGGAGACTATCGAATGACAGGCATTCTGTTTGTGTTTTTGTCTATTGACATGAATTAGAAGTAATTTCTGCTCCTATGCATAACTGGTTTGCAGATTTCATTTATGTGCTTCCCTTTAAGCCCAACCACAACGTTTTCCCTTTAACCTCTTAACTCCTGCTGTTTTCTTCCTGTCTTGTCATTGAACTCTATTGCCATCTTGTCGCTCCTTTAATCTCAAAAAAGTAACCTTTTCATCTCATTGTCCAGCTGATGTGATCCGCCTCTTTCTTTAGTGTGATGAGGGTCACCAGGTCAGCTGGAGGGGGGTTGCCATTAGCTGGGACTCTGCATGTATATGTGCACATAGAAGAACAAATCACAGGTGTTGGCAGGATAATAAGCGCCTTTCATGGTCAATGTGGGAACATTTAAACTAGAAAAATCCAATTATGAGGACAAAAGTACAGTGTTGGTCCTCTAACCATCAGCATCGATGCCGTATTAATTCACGATGTTTAATTGACAATGATGTGCAAATTTCAGTCCACTGTACAGTCTCCAAATTCTATATACAGGCTTAAATATCTAACTATTCACATATGAATATCATAGGGGATTAAACTTTCATTAATAGGCAAAAAAAAAGTGCCATGCCCCATTTGTTGTGATGGTAAAACTCTTGCTTGATTGCAAAAGTATTCATACCCCTTGACCTTTTGTGCTTTTTGTCACATTAGAACTACAAACATCAATATATCTATTTGAAACTACAGTTGTAAAGTAGCCAAAAGAATATTACTCGGTTGAAAACCTTTATTCCCAATAAAAACTGACATATGTGTTGTGCAGTAGTATTAAGCCCACCTTTCTCTTATGCATTCATTTCCCTTTGAAAGTCACCTAATGATCGCTAATAACCAAGTTCATAAAAACACATTTGGCTGCAGGAATGTGTGCTTTTTGAAAAGTATGTTAATAGCTTAATGTAAAAAATTATGCTTAAATGCAAAAATACTAAAGAGGACTATAAATTAATGCTGTAGACACATAAACCAAATGTTCCATCTAAATGTCCACTTCTGTAAAACTAGTATTTTTGACAGGTGACCTATTGTCTGACTGATGATGTCAGACTTTTCCTTTCCGGTGCTTCTGTGCTGACCAGCTGCTCTCTTTCTGGATATCTCTCAGAGAAACAGCAGGAACTAATGTTAGACTGCTGATGCTGCTTCACCCAGCTGAATCCAGAGCGGTCCACCAGCCTCTAAACTCACTCTGCTGTTTTCCTGTCTGCTCACATTTGCTTCTCCTCTCCAAACCCGTTTTTAAAAGTGAACTGGGAAATGGTCGCGTTTGAGATGAATTAGTGTGAAGGCTAATTGGGTTGTGTGTTCATGCTGATTGGTGTTGGGTTTTTTTTCAGAGTAATGAACCTCTGTGGGTTGACTAGGTTGCTCTTTTTGTGTTTTGCCGGTAATGAGAGCTGCGTAGCGTGTGGTGCTGCCCCTGCTGTTTGTTTAGGTGCTGCTGTTCTGTGTCTCTGTGTTTACATACATGTAGACATGTGTGGGGCTTTGGTCGCTGCTGTTTGTTCAGCTTCCTCTCATTCCTCGAGGAGGCCTCTGTAGCCAGAAGACGAGTAAAATATGTTTTGTGTGAATGTTTGCTTGGGAGAATAGGATCTAATGTAAACAGGTGTTTCTCTCTTACCAGGTGGAGTAAGTTGAATGAGAGAAGTAGAGGGAGCCACAGAGTTATTGGAGCGAAAAACAAACTATTTCAGTAGAGCAGGGTCCTTTCTTATACGGTCATTTTCAGTACTAAAAAGAACCAACATATAACTCCCTTGTATTTATTTGTCAGAAGCAGGTTTTCCAGGAATTCCTTATTGAATCATGAGTATTTTCTGTCCAGGCCCTGTATGTAAGCACACAAACTCATCGTGTTTATTCCTGTCATTTGGGTCCTTATTATATTCATTACTATGTATCAAAATCATTTATTTTTATAAACTTTCCTACCTTAGTTTTCATAGCACATTTGAAAAAAAAAAATGCTTCAATTTGAGGCTAGAATAGAGTTGCCAGAACATGTGTCATATGTTTGGTCTTCTGCTTTGTAGATTATTTGGTAGTTATGGGTAGCTAGGCAGACACTTTCCCTTTTTAGATAAAGCTTATAGATAGAACAGCTCAGGTTATCCTGAGCTACTTCTACAGCTGTGCTTCTATAGGCTTAGACTGCTGGAGGGCATAGGGACCCCTTTTCATCATTCTGGTTCATACTTTCTCTATGTTCCCTTTCTGCAGAATTTGTCAGCTCAATTTCTAACGTCATGCTACAGTATGAACTGTAGATATTAACAGAAAACTTAAAGATCTACTCTGAATGTGATGCTTTGCTAAGCTGTGTCTTGTGTAGATAGAAAATTAGTTCAAAGGTCATGGTTTAAGAATTAAAAACAACTGAATAATAATACATCAAATACTTTGCTAGCTCTTCTACTAAATGTAATGTTTGGCCAGAATATCTGAGGCAGTTGACATTACAGTGTTGACTATTTTAGTGTTGGTTAAGATGGAAATCAGAGATTTAGTGGGAATCTAAACACTGGGTCTGCAACATTAGACCTCAAGGACTGGATTCCTGCTACCTCTATTTGTACCAATTTAAGGGGCTTCCTAATAATCCGATTCCAGTTGATGTATTTTAAATCCCAGACAGACGTAAATGCTGCAGGGGGTTTCAAATGAGTCAGAATATGTTTGAAATAGATTTTTTTTATTTTACAGTATCTGTAGGTGTTAATCAGACTTATCCACAGAGTGATGGGTACTTCTTGTTGGTTGGTGCAGCGCATAAAGGATCTGTGCTTTGGACCTTGGGTTGTAGGTTCAAACCCTGCTTAAGGCAGCCTCCAGTAAAAACAACAAATTTGCGACTAAAAAATAAAGGGGAAGCTGAGATGCTGGGAGTGGGAATGTTTGACTCCCCACCCTGGGGTGGAAATTTCTTAGAACAGTGAAGATCGACTAACATCTTCCTGTTGATGAAGTTTTAAAAAAAATCGACTAAATGACTGTGGACTTGAGTATTAGAGTTATCATACTGGCTCACCCACTAAAATAAGGCTAGTTAATATGTTTTATTAAAAACATTAAGTACAAAAAAAAAGCCTCACCCTGCAACAGAGACCACTATACAAAAGTAACTGGATGTTGTTTCATAAAAATAATGTTGTCCACTCTACTACCATTCTTTCAAATGACATAACTGTCAAACGGCAACACATTTGTTGAATTTGGTTGATAATTGAAGATATCAGACTATGCTGAATATAAAAGTGTTCTCTTAAACTTAAAGTCACAGTTAAACTTGTATAAGGTCAAATTTGAGAAGTTAAGCTGCTCCATCAACCAGTAGCTAATGAACATCCATTTTATTTTTTTATATATGCACTCAAGTTGTGAAAAGTACTGTATAACATTTATTTATTGTTAAAGCATATATTTATGGCTATGCAGGTGGTCAAAAAGATAAATGCACCCGGAGAAATGTCTAAAGTGTGACAGGTGTCATAGCAGAGTGGTATTATATGTATGGTATTATAGTATAGTCTTGAGTTCAATTTCATCTGTGGTTGAATAAAGATGGGTTACATATATGTATGGCTATGCAGGTGGCCTCTATAAGTGTCTTTTTCCAACAACTATAGAAGAGAAAACAAAAAGATAAAGAACATTACTTAGAGAAACCACCTGCATAGTCATTAACAGGTGTAACCCATCTTTATTACATAGATGCTTGGACAACAAGAGTACAACTACAAAAAACAATGCTGAA